CGGATTAAAATAACCAGCGTGCCGTTCCGCATTTTTAAATTGGTGCGCTGTAAAATAAGGTTTTTAACGCACCTCGTTAACTTTTCAGAATGCCTGTTATCATCTTCCTAATGATCACTTGGTATCTAAATTGGGCCTCTCCTACTTAAGCCCTTTATTTTGTAGTCAGGCTGGTTTGTGCACAGGCATTTTTCTGCACAGATCAGTGTGCAGGGTAATGACCTAAGAATTTTTTAATCATGAATATTTCTCGTGTCCAAAGTGGTAGTTAGGTGATAAGCACTTATATGGCTACAAGGTAGGGTTTGGGTCAGTTTGCAGATAATGCAAAAGTCACTGAAGTGAGTGAAAAGGAAGGTAATTAAATGTTAGATTTTAGGGAGCCTCAAATGTGTTCTCCAAACTTGAGCGTTGTAATGTTGAGTTTTATCGAAATTGTTCAGCAAATGCCAACTTAGATGGCTTTCAGTAAATACCATGTCATTGTCAGGACACAGCTACTACAGCATCAGTAGCCTGAATGTTCACAGAAACGGATAGAAACTGACATCATACATTCTCCTTGTGTTCTTAACTCAATGAAATGGTAATTTTAAATAGCCATTAATATTATTGGTTATTTAATTAATTAACTCCATATTGCTGCCAATATTCTTAAAAACAGCTTGTTTAAAATCTTGTAGTAGACCATTTATTTTCTGTGAAAGTTTTTCCTAATATCTGAGAAATGTATGCACAGTTCAGTAATAGTCCTGAATTCTTGTTGTATGATTTGCTAACTACTCAGCTGAAGAAACATGGAAGCCAAAGCTATCTTGCAGTTATGTGTATTTCATGATTTGTAGGCAAGAATTCTGAATTTGTCATTTTGTGTTATTTAGCAATAGCATTCCAGAATTTTTAGATTAATGTATCTGTCTTCTTTAAGTACTAATCTTCTGAAGTTATAACACAGGATTTGGGGCTTCTTTTTTTTTTTTAAACTGTAATAGGAGGGGGAGTAGAGGGGCATAGTAGCAGAAGACAACTACGGGAACTTTCCGTTCCGTCTGATAGAAACTAAATTTCACAAAGAAGATTGTCATTGTATTTGAAATTTAGTTTTACGTCAGTATAATGGAGTTTAAATGTAAGATACTTCAGTGAATACAGCTATTTATTGGCTGAAAGGAAACACTATAGTGCATCCTTTCAGATGTTTAGAGTGCTGTGTTTTAATTTCATGAAATGTGGATTTTTCAGGTTGAACTTTGAAGTTACTGGGATCTGATGAAACGGAGTCTGTTTTTTGGCAGAAAGCAAGCAACCTGTTGCTGCACATACAGTGGTATTCAGCTTTGTTTTCAATGACTTTTGCCCAGTCCACTGACCAATGAGTATTTTTTCTTACAGTACTCTGTTTGATCCTATAATGGAATTAAGTTTTTTTTTTCCTTTAAAAAAAAAGGCCCTTGTTGGGAGTGTTGTTCATAAGTCTGTGTCTTTAAAATACATGAATAATATGTTATGAAATATGAATAAAGTGTTGCAAGTTCAAGAAGCTTTTATTGTAGTAGTCTTACAGGTGGCTTTGTGTCTAAGTGGAAAATTACTGGTTTACTAATATCAGCATAACAAAATGCTACTTCACAGAATCACAGAATTGTAGGGGTTGAAAGGGACCTCTGTGGGTCATCTAGTCCAACCCTCCTGCTG